CAAAATGACCAAGATCGCCAGGCGAACAAGGTACCCACCGGCACCACTTTCAACGCGTTGGCCTTAGCTGGCGCGGGTGTCGGCGGTTTCTCCTCTCTCTCTCGTTTGTCGTTTCAAGTCTCTCAACACAGTCAAGGACAAAGCAACACAGGAAAGATCTCAAGGAAACCCACAGACCTAAATGCATATGGTTCCAAAATCAATGATCAACAGGCAAAGGACCTTCAACGTATTCAGATAGCAGAAATAACGAAAGTTCATAGCTGTAATCAGGTTCATAACGTTTTGTCAGTTCTGATCAGTTCAGAGCACATATGGGTGATCGTATGAATCAATGATGATAGCATAGGCGTTTCCATATGAAGCGTATGAAAGTTTCCCCATGCAACATGATATCCCAATGAAGAAGCTGAGACTTCCTTCCCTTGCAACCCCAATGAACATCCACAGGGATCAAAGCAGCCAGAGGTCATTAGTCTCAGGCTGTTAGTGCAATCTGTATCAAACTCAAGCGTTTCTCAATGAGAAACTACACGCGACTTAACAGTCTGTGTTCGAATGGTCCAACATCAAGTAAGAAAATTATTTCTTTTACTATCATGTTCATCTTGTCGTCCGGCTAGGAAGACGCTCTTGTCCTGTCTCGCCGGTCGTGGTACTGAGGAGTCGCACGACCAGCGTTTTACTGAGGAGTCGCACGCTTGAATGATACACTAGTGATGAAGATACAACCACTAGGGCAAAATCAAAGTCAAAGACCACATTCAAAGACCAGATAAATGTTGAGGTAGTAGTACGCCAATGTTCATCTGGCGAAGTCTCATGGAAGAACGCTTTTCATAATCACGTTCTGGAGGATCCCATCTGGTGTAATATTTTTACCTACGATACTAAAGTTTAGTCCAAACGCAGAGCAAAAGGAAGTACGACCAGACGGCGACGAGCCAGAGAAGTAGGACCATACAACAACGACCCGAACTACGATATCAGCAAGATACAAGAAGGCCACTGCAAGTAGATTGCGCAGCATACAACAAGTTGTTCAGGTTGTTATTGTCCTCGGGCACAACTACATCGAGGAAACAGTTGCTCTTATCATTTTTATCTCTATCAATGATACTGTTACTGTATCAGTAGCCCCCTGCTCCTCCGTTGGACCAAACAAGAAGGAGAACAACGAACAGCAGTTTATATGAAACGAAAATCTGTTATCATTATCAAGCTTTCCTGCTCTTGCTGTCTTCTCCTGGGATGTCTCATCGGATCGCCATCGACATTCCCCGGTTCTTAAGTAGAAAAGTACGATAATGATAAGAGATTTTGGCTTCATAGTTTATCTTCTACTGCAAGAGGTCATTATACCGAGAAGTCCGAGTACAACAAACAAGAAGGACCACCTCCCACGATTATCGGACATGGGCCTTGATACAACAGCACCAGGGGATCATCTTCAACATGATGTGGATGGAACCACGTTCCGAGAAGAGGCACGAGTCGAAGGACGCACAGTAGAGCCACAACGTTCTAGTCCTACTCCACAGCGTTCTAGTCATATACAAAGGAGGACTACGAGGACCCAACAGCAACAGCACCATTTTGTCGTTGTGCCTGGAGCGGCAGGTCGACAAGAACATCAACGAGGACCGAACCGCTTGGAGCATCATAGAGGATCTCATGTTCCTGCGCAACCACAGGCACTAATTGGACAACTACATCACGATGATCCTCGTACAACATCAGCAGCTCTTCAACTACAGGCAATCACAAGCGGTGGACCTACTTTTCCTGACATTCCCATTCCCGGACATTCACCCTATAGATTCGCGGGTGGAGTGTTTTATGCGGCTGCGCCGCCATCTCCCGTTGCTGCTGGGGTTGAAAACTGTCGGACAAGGGATACAGTTAAGATTCAAAATCGTCATCTGCTCAGATCTGTAACTTTGAAATTATCATAATCATGCATTCTGATTCTCCTTGTTCAATACGACTACAACGAATTTTTAATGGAGTGCAACAGCCGAAACTACGATTCTGATACTGATTTTTCACTTACACTTACTGTCTCTTTTCAGAAGAGCCCTTTCTAAGAAAAAATCTGCCCTTGAGGACACTGACGAAGCAAGTGCACAGGCAGACCACTTGGAGGCAATACAGGACAGCGTGTGGAGCAGTAGTAAAGGGAGCAATACTAGCACGACTTCTTCTGTGGATATCAGAAAAAGTGTAGCTGCTGGCCCAGGTGTCCTCCTAGCATTAAACGAAAAAGGAAAAGCTAAGCGAATGGATAATATTGCACTAGCACCAGAGGCAGAAGTGGCAGTCGGTCCTAGTACAAAAGATAGAGATAGTTCTTGTACTTTATCCGCAAAAACTTCGACCGGATCGTCGAGTACTAGTACGAGTGTGCAACTGCAGGTCTCAACCGATGTTGTGATGCAGAGCAGCAATGTGTCCTCAGAGGAAGTAGTTGCATCAAATGCCTGGACGTCGAGAAGTGTCTTTCTTTCTAGGGATAAGCAGAGTGGTCATCATAAGGTCGAAGTCAATACTGATGCAGTTACTGCGCAGATGCTCAAGCTGCAGCCTCATGCTTTCGTTCCGTCGTCTTCATCTGCGGCGCCGTCTGCAAGTAGTAACAACTTCGATTTTGTTGATACTTCTACCGAGTCCTGTTCAGCGTCTTGCTCATCTTCTCTAGGTGTGCCCTCCGCCTCTTCTGATAGTAGATGGACCAAAGATCATCATGCTGGAGCTCTGAAGCTTGAAGAGCCTACGGTCTTCATCGACAAGGACAGCCTTGCTTTGCTGTTGCGTCATGTCGCGGCTGGGGTCACTGTAAATGCGAATGCGCATGAAGCTTTTAAGGTTTTTAGATGAACATTCCGATTCAATCTAATATGCGTGGTTCTTGTTTGCGGGAAATGTAAAAGACTGCCTGTAGAGCTGAATTGTAATGGTCGTTGAAAAACTTAATGCTTTGATTACCTAGGCATAGGCATAATCAATGCGAACCTAGGGCCATCTCCATCGCTAATGCTCATAGGCAACATAAGCCTGCAGCTGCGTACTCACAATCGTCGTGTTCTAGCTCAACGTCTGCAGCTAGAAGTGGTAGAAGTAACGCCAAGCTGGAAGAAGGCGTCGAGGGGACGGGAGGTTCGTCTTCTCCATTATCAAAGAGGAGTAGCGTCGCAAATCCAACCAATTCGTCGAGCAATGGGTGCCAATCGCAGCAAGAGTACGCTGAGGCCATGCGGCGACTGCATCAACATCATCCGAGTGCTCATAGTCCCTATAGGAATCATCCACATTTTCTGCCGAAGGAGCGCACTCCGTGTCCACCGCCGGGAATGGACATTCACCTTAACGTCCCACATGGTCAAGGTCAACGACGAGAGGAGCGCCAACTGGCTGCACAGGACAAGAATGTCGTCCCAGCAGCGGCGGCAAGCAGGCGCGTTCGGGCTGGTATCAACTCAGCAGCGATCTCAACCACATCTAATGGTAGATCTACTTCTGCCGGATCCATTTGTTCAAGTAGTCCACCTCATCAAAAACCACATCTTGACTTGATGACGTTGCTAACACCTAAAAGCACATCAAGAGGAGGGACATCATCAACGTCAGGAACCACATCATCAACCTCAGGAGCAGGGATATACGATCGAGTGCTTGCTGGAGTCACGACCGCACAGCCACCTAGCTCCTCGACACTATGCAGCTCCTCCGGGGGAGCAAATATGAAGACCCCTATTATTAATATTCCAACGTCTTCCTCTTCAACACCTCCTATGAGATCAGCCTTCGACTTTCAAAATTGTAGAGCTCCTAAGATGAATTATGGATCAGGTTCTTCACATGTTGCACTAGCCGCTATTATTGAGGTTGACGAGGATGCGTCGCAGGCGACATTGAGCGCTGGACCGTCTCCTGACAAACAGCATTGTCTGTTCAATGAAGGTCAGCATCCTTATTATCCACGACCATCTAGTTCTAGTCCTAGTAGTCCGGACGCCGATCCAGCAACAAAAAGCGCAGATCACGATCATCCGCTACATCTTTTACGGCTGAAGCTAGAAGAAAAAGAAGTGTCGTCCTGCTCTAGTTGCAGCTACGTGACCTCGTGTGCAGAAGGTGGCAACAATCCGTCACGCAGCGCAGTGGCGTCTTTGTCCTTCTCCGGGAAGCTCAACACTGCATTCGCAATAGGAACGTCACTTCCTCCAGGAGCAACAGCTACCCCGCCAAGCACACGCAGTGTACCTACAGCGCCTGTTCCTGCTGCTCTTAAAGATCGTATGGCGGTCGTGGCTCATCCACATCCAGTTAGAGTACCGCCAACATCTAAGCCAGCCCCATCTAGGCCAATAGTACCCATGCTGAAGCCCAGTGAATCAGGCGCGCCGCCGCCTCGCTGTGCTCCACCTCCGCCAACTAGTGGCACGACTTCTGTTTTCGTGCGTCCTCCACCCGACCTTGAAGATATCGACGAAGAAGATGGTCGTAGAACAAGGAGTGCTGGTAAAAATATGTCCTCCTCTACATTACGATTGCTAACAAATGGGACGCCTCCAGCTGGAAGTCCAGTCGTAGACACCACCGCTACGAAGGCAGACAGAGCTGCCCTTCCTGTTCCGACTGGGCTTGTTGATGAGTCGGAAACTCCTAGTACAACTGCGGGTGCTAGTACAGCAAGAACATCTTGTTCTAATAGAGTCCTTGAAGATCCTTGTGCAGGAGATGGAGGTGAGGGTGTTTTTCAGACCTCGACTTCCTCATCTTCTACTCCGCCAAATGACTTAGTGCTACAGGACTACAACACCTCAACGGAGTACACACATCACCACTACAACTACGGCGCTGCGGCAGGCCCATATCTCTGCCTTCATGGAGGGAGCGGAGCAGGTGCTGGAGGTGGGTACTACAATTATGCTAGTAGCAGAGCGAACTCCTATTATAGCTATGGATACGGTGGCCCTGGCTCTGGTACTAGTGCAGAAAGAACAGATCACAATCATCACCATTCCCTCGTTAGGAGCGACAAGCAACGGGGGTGGGCCAGAAATTCGCTGGGAGGGCATACCCCTGCTCATTCGATGATGAATTACAACTACAACTGTTTTACTAGTGGAGCCGGACGAGGTAGTAGCGCAACTACTGCGCACCAACAAGAGTACGTCGCAGTAGATGCAGATCACCATTATCATTATGCGGGTCAGCCGTACCATTCATCGTGGCCTAATTACTACGGCGGCGGCGGCCACGAGGATGCACACGGGGAAAGTCCACGTAGTTCTTTGCCCTACTACAACCATCAAGTCTATATGTTAAGGCTCAACTTTCAATGGTCACCATTGAGATTGGGGTCACTGAGATCGAAGAAGCGACCCCTACTTTAGAGAAGAATAGGGGAAAATGAAGGGAAAGGGGAGAGCCTTGAAGGGGGTCTCTTCCGTTCAGAGTCATGATATCCAGTGAGGTTTTCTCCGGACCAGCACCCGGACATTTTCTAATCCCCACACTCGGCACGACACGACAAGTCTCGGCAGGGAGTGACCGGTCCTCACCTCACGTGTTTCCTCCCAGCCAGGATTCTGGCGATGCCTCCACGTACAGTACCGTGTTTCCTCCCAGCCAGGATGCTGCATCTTGTTCTCGCACTTCTTACATTATGGAGGCAAGCTTGGGCGTTAGCGTATGCGCTAATCTTCTGTTAACACTTCTACGACTACGTTGAAGTACAAGCAGATTTCGAATCTTCTCAAGGTCGTTAAGACAACACGAGCACCACCGCCACGCTTCTTCTTCTAAGCAAATAACTTATAAACTTTGATGATGAAGAATTTCAATGCCTCGTCTAACAAGAACAACCACCATTCAGCCCCATCGGCACTGGTTTATGGCTTTTATAAGAAGATGATGGGCTTCTCGCCTTCGTTGTCTCGTCAAACGACGCAATCGCCAATAGTCGGAACGTCTGAGGTTGCTAGAGGGTAACGTCAATAGCTGGAATGCCTCTTGAGGTTCCAACGGGGTCATGTGAGGAAAATGTGGTAGAGAAAGGATGACTAGTTATATAAAATGCAGCACCACGACGACGACACTTCTATCACTAATTGCAGTTGTAAAAAAAGTGCTTGCAATGTTGATGTGTGGTAAAACTATGATCAATAACTGTAGAAATATGAACTGCCGCAAAAATAATTATTGTTGACAAATTGGGTCTTAAATTCTTGTTGACTCTAATTGACTAGATGAACCATGAATGGTGAAAAAATGAAAGTTTAATGTATGATATTGGTATGGGTATGGGAAAGACCCGATCTCGGTCTTGTCCTGCAAGATTCTTATTGTCATGAAAGAGAAAGAACGTCGCTATCGTTTGTTTGAACCTAAAAACTGGGTTACATTTACTGTGTTATCAACAGCAAGAAGTTATATTATAAAGGTTACTAGGTCAATGAAGAAGCTAAGGCTAACGCAAATTTTTATCTAATCAATAGTTATTCAGGCAAAGAACCAACAGCAACTGCTAACTACTCAGTTGTCGGAACACTAGCACTACTCACTTGGAATAAATCAGTCGAAATGGACATTATTGGAACATAGCAAAAAGAGCAAAGATATATTTCTGTCGGCTTTCAATATGAATAGTTATGTTGATGTCGACGGGTTGATATCTTGGCTAATAATGCTATAACGTTGCAGCTATATAAATAAAGATTGTGGTCAATTATGTCATCAACATCAATCGAGAAAAGACAACTCGACAACTACTCGTACTCAGTACAACACGATGAATTACTCGTAGTCGGAGCTCGGAGGTGGTAAACAAGAAGAAGAGACGTTCGAAGAGTTGTCCTGAAGATCGCTGTCGTGAATGGTCCTGTCCTGAAGATCGCTGTCGTGAATTCGTGTCCTGAAGATCGCTGATCAATTGTAGCTCTCGTTGTCGTTCCTTCGAACAGTAGGCACTCGAACTCGACTGAAGGTCGTGACGATCAGTTCGTGGGGATAATCTCGAGGCTGTTTGATAGAGGAAAGCAGTGGGGCATGATAGTCAAAGTGATCATTCTTGATAAATAAGTGGCAGTTCTACTCCTGTAGGTGAAAAAAGTTAAAGTAGATGTTACATGATCCAGTACTAGTTAATGATCGACGGGTTTTGTATCAACAAAAACAATAATATATCAATGTGGTGTAAAAACTATCGTAGCAGCAGTCAGTACCCCTAGTAGTTTCTTCCCGTTTTAGATTTAAGTTGCAAAGATTATAGCCGTAGAATAGTCTTTCGTATACACCTACTGTGAACAGTTCGTGAACACGATCTTGATCATTTGAGTTGAAGACGATGTCTAGGCTGTTTCATTTTGATAGAGGATGAAATAAGCAGTGGCATAATTTCGCTAGATCTAGACAAAGATGTTGACGAAGATGAAGACCAGCGTCAAAGCCGTGTAAGATTTTTTCCGGTTTGAACTCGAGATCATGCAAAGATTGTTGTAGCCGTAGAGTGAAGTTCGAGTCCAGTCAGAGAGTAGATCTAGATGAGCGACAGCCGTACTGTTACCCTTTTGATATAAATAGAAGCAGTTCGAGTAGATTCACATCATCAGAGGCAGTTCGAGTTCGGCTTTCGTATTATACACAAGAATGAGTCACAAGAAATGTTGCTACTATGGACGCTCGCTGCCCATCCACTACCCACTCATGCCTCAGTCCTTCGCTTCTTGCCATCTCCTCTACAGTCGTTGTCTCCCTCTGTCCTCGAAATAGAAACTTTTTTCGTAGTGGATTGCACAATGTGCCGGCGAAGGTCAACACTAATCCTGGACTACTTATATATACAACATGATCTTCTGACTTCTCTGGGGATTTATTTATTCTCTTCTTCGTGGGCTTCGGCTTGCGCTTGGTAAAAGACAGTGTAAGTACATGCTTTTCCTCCTGTTGTGTAGATTGACAAGATGTGCCACGATTTCCGTTTTTGTGTTCAAGCATCAAATTTTGCGTTTTCAAATGGACGAAGTAGCACGAGGACGAAAACCGAAACGGGCGTACTTGTTTGACGAGGAAAGAAGTTGTGTGGAGTGGTTCTTCCTAACTCCTGGAGTGGGTCCATTCACTCGAATATATTAGACTTGGCAACAAGAAGTGGCGTGGGCAATAGATGTGCCAGTATGTTGCTTGGCTCTGGTGTAAGTAAGTAGATTAAATACAGATTCAGATTGATTGTGATTTGACTATAATGACGCTTCTTCTTTATTTTGTCAGTTTATGGCCTAGGGCTGACTTTTCCTTACGGTCGTCCTCTCAACCATTAATACGTCTCGCTTATTTTGCTCATAGATGTTGTTCTTAGAGCTTCTCTTTCTGTTTCGTTTGTGCCTTGGCTTGGTCTTTATGATATCTTTACATACTCTTGACAGTTGTTGTTCATCCTAGTGAGTATTTGCGTATTAAATGCGTTGCTTTTATTTCCGATTGGTCCCAGCCGGTGCGGCCTGGCCGCGCTATGTGGTTGACCCTCAAACTTAACCGTTTCCCGTTTTGCTAGAAGATCATGAAAAGTCTCAGCGTGGTCATCTGTTCTTTGGCGGTGCAAAATCTTGCGCCTTCTTTCTCAACATAGACTATGTTACATAGTGATAGTGATAGATTATCCCCTCTATCTTGAGTACTCGTAACCCTTGTATAACCAACCTAGTCATTCTTGTCTTCAATCATAGGATAGCGACAGAATCGATCTTACACCCCACGAGTGGGTACATCTATCTATCTATCTATTCAGGCGGGTGGTCGGCCTCAGGGATCAGAAGGTTGCTCGACTCGAATTTGTTCCTGTGCCTTCTGACCCTTGTAGCTTTATGGACGACCACTTCTCATCTTCGTATTTGGACTTACTTACACATAAAAGCTATGAGCTATCCATATTGGTTTTGAAGATTCATAGTTGTGTTCCGGATGGATCTGGATCATAGGTATAGGTATAGTAGAACTAGATCTAGTTGCTGCACCAGTTCGTTGGATGTAGATCTAGATGTTGATCGACGTGACGAGGTAAGTCAGACGCTTGCGTCGAGGAGTCGAATTTGCAGCAATAGAATTACGATTCGGTGCAGCAGGTGGAAGCACAAGCGCGACTCGTATTGTTAGTCGTGGATATTATTATTATAAAAGGGGCTGCAGGATTTCGATGTTGTTTTTAATGGAGAATCTGTATGTGCATGTGCTGGATGTTGATGCCCGTTGTGAAGGCGGTGAAGCAGGTGGCCAAAAAAAGTAGAAGTCCCAGTAGCAGTATTTCCTATGATGTAAAATTTCTCGATGAAGTAGTAAGCAAAAACGACTTATTGGAAAACAAGAAATCGCCATCACGCTTATTTTTGACTATGACCACGTAGACTCTTTCTCTTTCACTTTTCTCTTAACAACAAACTAAAACTATCAATCTAACAAGCACAGCAAGTACTACACTGGCAAATCATCTACTGATGAAAATGATAATGATGCGAGCGCGAGGTAAATGTTAAAATAGATATCAGTAAAAGGACCAAAGGGCGAGCGTGTAGGTGTAGATGTGGCAGGTGGTATCCTGTTTTTGATCGCGTCCTCGTTTCACGAGAGCACTCACAATCGTTAACATGGGCACTGCGTCAGCGTCTACGGGTCCGCTCTTCCTCAGCATTAGTGCAGTTTGAGTACTGTCCATCTCCATACCGATAGATGTACTAGATAGAAGTGAAGATTTGAGTTCTGATTTTCTCTTACAATTTTTTTCTTCCTCAAGAACGAAGGATAAGGAACAAAAAAGAATAGGTTAGTTGTACGTACTTTCTCGTTCTCGTGATGCTTTTTTTTAAGATGTCGAAATCCTCTTGCCATCCCCATTTTCCTACATTCTTCAGATTTGTATGCTTCTGGTATTCGGTTGTAACCTGAAGATTTTGATCATAATAGAAAGCAAGAATAAAACCCTTGAGATCGAAACCAGATTACCGATTACCGGAACAATAGACGAGAGATCTACACAGTTTCAGGCTGCTTCATAAAACCGATAAGAGTAGCGCAGTCATTCTCATTGTCATCGTCATGAGTGGGTCGAAAAGACGATCAACAAACTTCCTTAAAACATAAGGGTCTTGCGCACGACCATCAAGAGATTCATCGATGACAATACACAACTTGTTTGTTATTGATTTTTACAGTAGACGTAGAGAGTGACACAGAGCACTTGTAATATGGCTACACTTGTGCATTATTATGTGCTTATCGTGTAAGAATAAATCATGAAATTCTTGGCGAGCTGCATGTCGACGTCGCAGACGAGGAAGACCCTACTTCTATTCTGCACAAGAAGCTTGTGAAGTTTTTGTGGGGTGATCACGTGAGATAAGAGAGAGAGAGAGAGTTATTTCCAAAGCGAAAGCTAGAAGATCAAAATTATGAAAAGGATTTCGAATTGAAATAGAGAGACGAAATTAATAGAAAGCGGAAGAACATGAAAAAAATACTGATTAACAACCGCTATATCTTTCTACAACCAAAATAGATAGAAGCGTGCCAAAACATAGCCGGCATATCTACCAAATGAATTATGAGTGAATGAATAAAAACGTGCCAAGGATTCGAGGCGTGAGTTTTTTCATGCACTGCCCTCTGCATCTGACATCGAGATGATCAAAAGGATCATATGTACTAGTTTTTAAGAACAACAGAGAGACTGACAAGACCTTCAAGAATTACTTTGCTTCATCGCCCCAACAGTTACAACAGTTTTCAAACAATGTCGGACAACGTCACCGGGACAAACGACTGGTGGGACCAGGCTCCGCCTGAGCCTCTAGTGGAGCAGAATGAACATCAAACTCACGTCGATTCTTGGTGGCAGAATAAGAAAGAAGATCTGGCTGCAGAAGACACCAACGACTACGTCGAGAACGATCATTATCGTGTAGATGAACATCAAGATCAAGATGGTCAGCAGCAACAACATCATCATCATGAGAACTACCAGGAAGATGAACATCAGGGACGAGAAAAACATGGTCATGCTGCGGCTCAAACACAGGACCAAAACAGCAACAGGTACTACTACAACTACAAAAAGGACGATGAGGTGGGCATGACAACGGCACACTATGGCGCGTGCTTCGACTGGGGTCGTGCTACGTGGAATTATGAGGAACAAAATGAGAGTGACGAAGTAGAGAAAGAACAAGATCATGTAGCCACTATTACTAACTTTACTACGTCTACGCCTACTTGGGAAAACGAGAAGAACAAGAACTGGTCTTCGAATGGTCGTTCTTGGGAGCAGTCTGCGTGGGATGGTAGTGCTGCTCATCAAGGTGAAAAAAAGCAGGAGGTGGAGAGTAACAAAAAAGACAAATACTGGTGGAAAGCATGCTACAAGAATAAAGAGAACAGCATTAACGGCTACTGGGATGAAAACAAGGACAGCAAGGAAGAGGATACCAAGAACTGCTCCTGGGGCGTCGAAAATTATAGGGTGAATAACTACAAGAAGTCATGGGACGAGAAGAAAGATGAAGGCGACTACAAATGGGATGAGAAGAAGGAGAACAACTTCAAGTGGGATAACGATAAGAGAGATGACAGCAAGAACTACACCTCCTGGGATGATCATAAAAAAGACAGGAATCAAGAGGACAAGAAACAGGACAACTACAATTCGTGGAACAAGGAGCAAGATGATCGACGCTACAGTTCTTGGGAGCAGCGCGATCGCTATGATACGAAAACTGCAGATGACGACAACAGTTAGGGCAGAGTAATTGTAAAATAACGTGAGTCCTGCTCTCGAAGTCCATGAATCTAAGCGACCACTCGTATAGAACAATATTGTCGTGAACAGGTTGAGATTGAGTTTATCCACGACCGACCTGTCTACACCCCTTACCTTGCTTTACATCGACAACCTTTACATCGACAACTGTTTCTCGTTCTAACTTTTCAAAAACAAGAAGTGGACCGATGCTTCGTCGTCGTGGGGTAACAAGAACTCGTGGGATTCCTGGAATACAGCCAGCTTGTGGAAAAGCGACTGGGATCACAAGGTCAAGGAACAGGAGCAGGAGAAAAGTTACAACGAGGAGTGCAGCACTTCTTACAACGATGTGGACCATGACAACAAGAACTCTAGAACTAGCTACAACCATTGGTGGTCCTCATGGACCAATTCCTATTGTAACAATAAACAGTACGACAACAACTACAGCGCGACGTCGACGGAGGACGCTACTTCTTCGATCAAGAAATCCGAATCGTCCTATAATTGGTGGAACAGCATTTTCTCCGAAACCAGCGAGCCGGACAGCACTGCAGACGACGAGACGGCTTCGGAAGCGTCGTGGACAGCGTGCGATCTGGAGCAGGTAGAGGCCTTCGATATTTCTGAGGAGGTGGTAGTTGTGGTGTCGTGAACTAGAGGCAGTCGGATCCCGTAGTGGAGTTGAAGAATTAGTCGTGGTGAATAGATGTAGAATCAGAAACGAATTTTACTAGATGTAGCTAGCTCCCTGGGGCGTTTCGGAGGAGGACGTAAAAGAAGATCACAAGTACATCACGAATACGTAGAGATAAAGTTGGGAGTTCAATTTTTGTTATTTTGTTCAGCTAAATTTTTTTTCAGTACAACTTCTAGTTTCGTTTTATCTAACGACAACGAATATGAAAATAGCCGAATAAGTAACGAGGAGATACGGCGGACATATCCATGACCACTCAGCTCCACGAGGCTCTGAGACATCAAGAACAATCAAATATGAGTAAAAGTAGTACTACGTACATTTTCAAGTTAGACCTAGACGAGTTTTGAGTTTGAAGAACAGATGAGATATACAGTTCAACATTTATTTTGTTTCTAAGAGCCACAAGCAATATGAATAGCTACCGCATGGAGTTTGCTAAACAAGTTTTCGGCAGTTTGTTAGGTTTGTTAGAACTACGTAAAGAGATTTTGATGTTGAGAACACTAGTACCATGAACGAACTTTTTTCGATTTTGATGCTGCACAGTACTAAGTAGACAAAAAATGACGGACAACAGTATTACATCAGAAAGAAACACTCAATTCGATAAAGAAGCTTCAAAGTGAGGACTGTTAATCGTAGACGACGACTCAAAAAACATTCAGGACCATCCATTTTTGTCTTTTTTCGCACAACCAACAACAAACCAGAACTGAAAAAGAGAAACACTTGTGCTCTCCAATTTTATCCTCTCGAGGAGGATTTTGTAAATCACATCAATAGCACCAGGAGCTGAATGATGTCTGCTCTTTTTTCGGCTGCATCCATGACACGCGATCTCCTCATACGTTCTAGGAGCGCGCATACTGGCGGGGTTTTCGGGCAAAAGTCGAGGCCGAGGGTGAAAATGAAGAGCACTACTAACTAAACATACTTCTGCCAGGGAACCTACTTTTACCCAGAAGTTTGAAGACCCGTCTCGAATACACTTAGGAGAAGTGCTTCATAATCCTACTCCGAAATAAAAGTCCGTCGTGCAGCACGTGGGCAGTTGCTGGAAAAATAGATCAGTAAATGAAAATGTAAATAAGACAGGACGACCTGAAGTGGAAATACTTCTCGTGGGACGACTAGATTACTCACGATTTATTCTTCGAGCAAGAGTAAAAACATGATCATAATGTTGTTGTCCTACATGATGTCCTCACAGAGTAGAGCAAGCAGATGCTTTCTTCATCTTTCAGTGGGCTCGATCTCCTTCCGGAGCATTGTAGTCGCAACCTCATCAAGATCGGCATCAACCGTACGAGGACAAGAACGGATCACACGCCAACGCCGAGTCGAGTCAGCCGAAGCCACGAGGACTGCAACCCATGCTGTTGAACGAGCGGTTCAACGATTATTTGCATCATCATCTACTATTTCTAGTACTAGTACAAATGACGGCACTGAGACTGACGGAGAAGGAAGACGGAACGAAGCTGGCGAGCAGAAGTGGAAGTCAACGCCTTGTGATGACCATGTTACGTCGAGTAGTTTATTACCTTTACCGCTTTCTCGCTGCCATCTAGATGTAGATTTACATTTTTGTAGGTAGTTACGAGCGTCGCTCTTATCTGTCGAAAGTTGAACTGTTTTCGACTACGACTATTCTCTATAATGTGGGTGGAGCAGATGCAGACCTAACTAGAAAGACAAAAAACCGAAAAAAAGGAAAAGAAATTCAATCAAGTAGTTCTTATCTACTACTAGTAACTAAAACTAAGCGCTGCCAACGGGCGCTGATAGACGAGGTTAGTTGTACAGCAGCTACAACATGCACGTCATCTAATTCCTTCACCTCCACCACCTCTCTGAACGCGTCAAAGTCCTCTGGCGGTTACGATCTTTCCCATCTTGATGCCGAAAAAACCCACAACCAGATGGTAGGCGGTCCTTTGCAGAATGACGAGGCTTTGTTTCTCTACTCCCTAGTGCGGGGAATGAGAATGAAAAAAGTACTAGAAGGTAAGGCAAAGGCATCAACCAAGAATAATAAGGAGGCATCCACTTCCACCTCAGTTGGAGTTATACTTGTATTCTAGTACTAGGCGGACGCGGATGCTTTCGTTTTCCTAAGAGTAAAAGATCTTGCAGTCTTCCGCGATGCGAACACGATAGCTCTAACGAAATAGGAGGTTTAGGTGGCTTCTCGGCTAAGAATTTCTTAGCTGCTTTACCTGAAGACGGAACCATGTTCAGTGTGGATTTGAACAAAGTTCCAGCACAAGCTAAGAATCATAGGACGATTCAGAAGGATGTCGCTCTGCTCGAGCCTGCAGATCTTCTACAGGTACAAGAACAAGCACAAGGGCAACCTTTAGACCTGTTGTTTTTCGACTGTCACGCTTACGAAGCTCAAGTAGCAGCTTACGAACGACTTAGGAAGGTGAATTTGATCGACGATAAGACGATCATAGCGCTTCATGACACCAACACGCATCCAAACGATCGCTTCGTAGGCAAAGGCTCCCTGATGGGGACTGCACCTGCTAAATATCACGAAGATGAAGAGACCACGTCCACGAAAGATCTGGCTGTCGACGACAAGAAAAAAAAGGAAAATGGTACCTACTTGTGATGCAGAGCTTATTTATTCAGCCTAAAGCTATAGAAGTTTTCTTTTACGTCTAGTCGTAGGTATCTGCTCTAGTATCCTTGTGATTCCTACCCAGCCAGACGAACATGATGATTCTCTCTTCACGTTGGTCCAAATTCCAAAGAAAATGCATTACCTCCAACTACTACACAAGCAGGTTTCGTCCACCAATGGGTTGAACGAGCTCTGACCAATCTACTCAGCGAGAAGAAGGGCTATCATTGTTTCAACATGCATCCTCGGTTGGAGACGCAGGGACCGACAGAGGAGCCACGATGCGACGATAAGGGATGTCCGTTTCGCCACGGCTTGACGATTTGTCAGAAGCCAACGCATTTGAGAGTCTTGTGAAGATAGGATTCACCTCCATGAACATCCGATCGATCCCAGAGTATTCATTGAGTTCCAAACACGGATTAGATGAACTTAAACCGAACATAATACGCACCAATGCACAGCTTATATGATACCCAAAAATGCACAGATGAACGTCGACTTGCTATATAATATAATTTCTTGTTGTAGGTTGTTGAACATACCGTTGAAGTTGAAACTGAGAGACAGAAGAGCCACATCGTCAGCTACCGTAGAGCGTACCCTTTGTCTTCGAAATATGACTATGGGCACTGCTGGGCCTAGGTCGGATGTTCTTCATCCCCGAGGGAGCCAAGAAAGCTAAAGATGAGATGTTTCTTCACGTTCCATCCTAGGATGGCATCCTTATGATCCTAGCTTAGATTCGCAATTTTGCAAAAGCGTCTTTCTGTTGCAGCTCTCATGATGGATTCTGCTCCTCTGATCTTCAGCGCCGCCGAATCGAAAAACAACAAGAAAGCTGACGAGAAATATTGCACCGATCAACAGCAGATCTGATCATGATGATCAATAAGCGCATATTTATCGATGAGATACAACCTGCTTTTTTTTGGTATCTAGCTCTAACACTAAGTACTCCATGTCATCTTCCTTACCTAACATGCGCTAATTGCCCTCCCCGCAGAAGATATCACGACTTCTTTTTCTTTTTTTGCACAGTTTCGCAGCCCTGGAGGGCATTAGCAAGATGTAGTCTGCTTAGAAGTTTCTCTTCGTTATCCAACAAAATGACGGGTGCGGTGGTAGGTGCTGGGGCTCCCGAGCACGATGAAGACCATCTCCTCGAAGATGAAAGTCCTCTGAACCAAGAGACCTTGTTCCAGCTCATCCAAGAAGAGCAGCGCCTGCATCTTCAACCAAATGGAAAAGACGAGGACGGCAGTCAAGATGCTGGACAAGGTAGCAAACAAGCTCAGGCGAATTCCAAAGCCCCTCCTGAGATTCCACTATGGAAACAGGAGTTGATCACACGATTGACCAAGCAACGGCAGGATCTATTCGTAAACCTTGAGGCTTCGCTTTTCGATGACCAGCACCAGAATGCTGCAAAGACATCTTCAAGGACACCTTCATCTTCTTTGCACGTGGTACGAAAGGTTCCTGAGCTCTACACCTGGGGGGAAGGATGTAATGGCCAACTCGGATACTTGAAAAACTCGTTCCAACAAAACCCGAAGCGTGTCGACAAACTACCTACTGGAATACAAACATGGACGGGTAGCAGATATCATACTGTAGTCGTGGTTAGTGGGCAAACTGATGGCGTCGAGAAGCTACTGCTGAACACTGGTGCACGATCACATCAGAGGAACAGCGCAAGCACGCGTGGTGGAAAAATGCCAATGACAATGACTTTTAGTGATCGATTATACTCTTGGGGCACTCAGTCAGCGAGATTTCCGCGACTCGGTAGAGCTGAAGGCACATCAGATGAAATCCCTGGTCCTCTCTCCATCCCTGCGACGCTCAACAGCCGTTTCACAGTACGTCGTCTCTCGTGTGGTCGGGATCATACATTGATTTTAGCACAGGTTGCATCAGCCTCTGCGTTTGCACTGACGCTTTTCGGCTTCGGCAGTAACGAGCACGGGCAACTTCTGTTTTCACCTGCCAAGCGACCAGTAGTGCCGGAAATCACAGTACTGCCTTTCGAATCGAAGATGACTGCTAATATTGCACCAGGGAGTGTGGTCCCGCCGGGAGACGGCGTGGATTCTCAAGTTGTTCAAGACCAACATCTTGATGCTGGTGCTACTTCTGTTTGCATAGCCGACGCAGCGTGTGGCACTTTCCATAGTGTCATAGTCGTGCAGGAGCGATTGGATAGTCGTGAAGAAGCGAGGAGAAAGAAACAACCTGGAAGTACGTTATTTTCAACTACAGCAAAGACAGCTTCTTCTGAAGGCGCAGATCATGCTCGAGTGAAAGTACGAGGAAACGTTTATCAATTTGGAGTGTTTGCGCCTCCCTCGATCTCCAATTGCTCAACTGCGAAAGCTAACAGGACCAACAATTTGGCAATGGCGCCATGTCCCAGACTCACGCATTTACCTGAGATGGACGCGCCACCCAAGAATCCTTTTCATCTTGGACGTAGGGTTTCTCATGACCGTAAGCTGTTCTATTCACTGGAGATCGAAGGCAACACTACAGTTCTGAGGCAACCGAACCATTCACTTATCGCTTCAACGTGGGATCACAGTGCTGGTGTTATTTCTCGTCGGCAAGTGATGTTTGATCTTTCATCTTCGTCTTCAGTTTTGCTGGAGGGATCGGGAGGAGCTACGAATGGCAGTACGAGTAGCTCAAGAACAATGTTATGCGGAGGAGATGCAGATGACTCAGCTCCACAGTATCGCAATAAGCATCAATTCTACATGGACGATGAGTGGCAGATCAAGATGCGACGACCGGAAGCGCTGAAAGTGACACTTCGTAGGGGAAGACTCATTGTCATCGACACGTTTCATCGACTCTGGATTGGACACATTAATGGTGATGATCCTGCTGCTGGGTCGTTTTCCAACTCGTCTTCATCTACTACTTCTGCGTCTACTAGTAGCACGACTTCTAGTACTTCTACGTACAACCAACAAGAGCCAGTGACGATGCGCCACTTTTTGAGCAACGTCTCCGATGCGTGCTACGTTGGATCCAAGACTCCGACTTCGAGTTCCACAACATCCGCGGCCACCGAGCAAGAGGAGTTCCTGGTGGTTGTTCGCGGTATTGGCGAGGACAAGGACACGAATACCCACGAAGAGAATGTTGGACAAGACCAAGCTGACGAACAAGACGGTGAGGCTGCTGCTACTGGCGATCACGATACCGAAGAGCGCTTCGATGATAATGTCGCCCATGGGGGTGGCAATACTGCGAGTGAAACAGAGGCTTCGCAGCAGGTTAGCAAGCTCAAGACATTCGGTTTGCCAACAGAAGCGAAACTTGTTCGAGTTGTGATATCTGTGGCAACTCCTGGTTCAAAAGATGCGTCAACGAAGTCACCACGGGATGATGATGGAGGTTTCACCTCGGTCGTTTCCAGCAAGAAAAACAAAAACAACACGTCCTCCTCCTCCATGACTTGCAAAACAGTTTTAACAGCTCCAAGTTCTTCCTCCTCTTCAACTGCGAACTCGTCCAAGACCAAGATGATTTTCAGCCTTCATGATTTCGAGATCTGTCCCTTCGCCAACAACTACTCCAGCAGTCGTAGATACTATCCAACTCGCATGCTTGGATTACCACATAGCGTCGATTTTGGACATGAAGCTGGTGTTGGCAGGATGGTGTTAAGCTTTTACCGACCAAGTATCAACCATCACATCGATGCAACGCAAGACCGATGGACCGAGTCACTACAAGGGGGTTACGAACACCTCTATTCTTCTTCACCTTCTAGGCATCCCACAATTTCCGGTTTCGGCATGCGCGGCATGGATCATCTGCCACCACTTGAAGAGGATTTTCAGATTCCTATACCGTCATTTTCTACATCCTCGAGTTCAACGGCATTACCTGTGAGTCCGACTTATGCAACGTTGACCTCGGCCTTTCCTCAGCGACCACCTTTTCCAGCAGATGACATCACCATACCTGTCCCCACCTTCGCGACTGCGACAGCAGCAGCAACACACCCACTAGACATCACACCGATATCAGCACCACCACAGCCTGACTCGTCGGACGATTCAGAAAACGGAACGAAGCAGAACTCTCCCGCATCAAGTTCCCCTTCTAGTCCCTCTACTAGCAAGAAAAGGAAAAGACGGCCACCTTCTCTTGTTTTCTTGTGCGAAGTTGCGATCATGCGACAAATCACACCTCGAAACGCTCTGGACACTCTAGACTACGCCTTAGGGCATGATCTAGGTCTGCTTTGGAACTATTGTCTACGGATTCTCTTCTGGAATCTCAGAGACGTACAGCTCTTGCACGAAGCTTCTGACGGTCCTCTTGCTGAGAGTTACGTTGGAGCTTTGATGCTGGCTTGGCTAGAAAACGGTCAATTCGTTGGGCGCAGGGATCCTGTGCTGTTGGAGATATTTGAAGCATTTCAGGCGGGTGAAGATTTCCATAACACACACCCAGCAATGGAGTATACATTGAAGGTGTGGGCGGCGGGCACAGAAGGAGTTCATCTTTTTCCTGTTTCTCCTGGTACGATGACGAGTTACAACAACATGATACCTTCGACCAACACTTTGGTGCAGCCTGGTTCTTCCGCTAGTGCTGCTTCCTCCTCCTGTGCGGTTCTCCCTGTTTCTCCACAGCTGCAGACACGCTCCTCGAGAAAGAATTCTACTGCTACGTCAGTTTCTCCGATTTCACCCCCTGACCTAGGAGATGCTGGCTCTTCCAGCAATGTGTCCTTTCAGCACCTACTTCAGGCAGCGTACATCAGGGAAGTTGAGTTTTTCGCTCAGCGTCTTGGGATTTCTCGTTGTCGCTTAGATAGTGGCCGCATGGATATGGAGACATTCGCCGCTACCAAATTTCTGAAGAATATACTGGAAGAAGGACGTGCACGTACTAGTTTGAATGAACAAGAGCAGCGTCCTTCGTCTCCTATTCCCGGGGGACAAGTTTCTACCAATAGCTTGGGTAAAAATGTCGTTTCTCCAGTGCTAGCAACGCGTGATGTCAAATCTGCAGACGACAGTAACGCGACAAAGCAAGGACAACTACAATCCAAAAAAGTGAAGAGGAAGAAGTCTAGGCAACTGCACAAACAACCAAGCTTTCTGGGTGGGCAGCCTCAGCTAGATGCAGCTGGGACTGTTGATAAGGATACGCAGGAAGATGCTGATAGACAACTTGCACTGAGTATAGCGAATGCAGAGGAAAACAATGATGAAGCTTTTTTGATGAGTAACGATACAACAGCTGGAGCTGGAAGAAATCAAGCAAAAGCTGCATCCTCTTCATCTACTTCGACGGCATTACCCTCATGGAGCTCATCGCTGTTTAAGAAGAAGAGCTTATTCTTGTCTGGCGGTCCAACTCCACCAAATTCGTCTTCATCATCTGCATATCCACACGACGTTCATTTTGGGCAAGGAAGTGATATTGATGATACCGCAGAATCCAACGGAGCAGATTGGACGGCCGTTCCTTCACATGGTTCTAAGAGAAAAAGCGGCTCTGGTGGTCGCAAATCTGAAATTCCGAAATCGGAAGTTGTATCTTCATCTGCAAGTTCTACTAGTACTAGCATTGTAGTCATCAACGGCAATGGGACCACGTCGTTGAGTAAGGAAAATACTGCAGCTTCTTCGGTCTTAAACGGTGCTTCTGATCAGAACACGAATAAGCTAGTCCTGGGGGATTACGTGGTCTCAAAGCCACCACCCAGCCGGTCGCGGGCGTCAACAACTACTAGTATGGTAACACCATCAGCTGGTGGCGCCGGCGCAAGCTCGTCTATATCAGTAAAAAACGGACCGGGGCCTCCATCGTCGGGAACTTTTAGCAAAAATTCTCTACCACTTTGGGACATGGCTCCCAGCAGCTCGACATCCTCCGCCAACCCACCCTCCGCGATGTCACTGCAAGAAATTTTCCAAGAGGAAGAAGGTGCAAAACGTGCTAAAGAGCTCGAAAGAGCGAAGCGACAGGAAAGGATGAAAGGCATTGTTACCAAGAATTCATCTGCCGCAACCGGGGCTGCAGGATCTTCTAGCACAAGTAGTGTTGTAGCAGATCCAGCAAGACACTCAGGTTCGGGAAGCACTGGTACCAGTATAGCGAACAATACGATGAACATGAAGGCATCTACTTCTCCACCAACAACCAATGGACGACCTTCAGGTGCTCCTTCATCTTCTCTACTCGGACTCGGAGCTCCATCTTCATCATCTTCTTCAACAGCTGCAAACGATCCAACTCGCAACTATTGGGGCTCACAGGCACTACCTGAGGCAAGACGAGCGGCAGCCATGGACTTTAAAACACTTGAGGATCTAGAGCGTATCGAACGAGAGGAGGCTGAGATAGCAGAGATAGAAGCGAGGTTTGCTGCTTTAGAGGTTGCGGAGGAACTAGAGAGGATGGAAAAGAGTAAAGAGAATGTTGAAGGTTCCGAATATGCTGAGCAGACTTCATCTACATCTTCTAAAAAGAATAAGTCATGTAAAGGGCGAGGTGGTCGTGGAGCAGGCGGATGTAAAGCTAAAGGAGGAAGTGGAGGAAAAAGCAATGGGAAAGGGAAACATCAAACTAGCAATAGTAAAGGCGAGACTGCCAGTAGTGCGCGTCAAGAAGAAGAAGATCATGAGCCAAAGGCAAAGATTAAAGGAGACGGGAAGGGCAAGAAAGGCAATGGGAAGAAAGGAAAAGGCAAGAAAGGGAAAACGGACAAGGGGAAAGGTGTTGCTCATGCTGAAGACACTGAGAACTGACTTTATCATCATGTTCCTCCTCTCAATACATCAAGTACAGCGTTAGTAGCGTTATAGATACCTCATTTCATTATGTTCGTGTTACTCATTGATGTCTGCCAACACGAATTATCAATGGCATCTCCGGCCCTTCGCTTACTCGGTCATGTTTTGACTTTTTGAAACTCTTCCCAAACTCTCCTCTTTGTTTTCTTCAGCCCAATCTCATTCTCATATTTTTCAAACGCAGTTCTTATTCTTTGAACAAAATTTGATGTTTATGGCTTTCCCTAGCTGCTAACAGGGCAGTAGGATTCCCGACGGGGTCCGCGTCACGTTTCGTCCGAGTCGTGTTCGAATGTGTTGCTGCGTCGCTGCTGATACAACTGTTTCTATAATCCTTTACCGCAAAAGCCGAAGAGACGGAAATCGTCCGAAGGTTTGAAAAAGCCATTCTATTTCTATGCTCTTTTTGCTGGCAACACCAGGATAACTCGAGGTCCTTATAGACATGGTACTAGCCAGCGAGTTTGATATAGCAAAACGAATACACAGAAATACTTCTACAAAAATCGTGTCTTTCAATCATCATTTCCACCATCGTCCACCTGAACTTGATCGAAAAGTAAGCTACAAAAATGCCTCCACCCAAAAACGGTCGTCCACCAGCCGGTCCTCGTTCAGACTTCTTGGGCTGGGATGAATATTTTATGGGCATCGCGTGTCTCTCCAGTTTCCGCAGCAAGGATCCTAGGACTAAGGTCGGCGCCTGCATCGTGGATCCCATGCGGCGGATAGTGGGCATCGGCTACAACGGATTTCCGCAAGGCTGCCCAGACGATTCATTACCATGGACAGGGGGGGAAGAGGGGGAATGGTATTATAAGTATAACTTTTGATCATTGTTGATGTCGTGACATTCGATCTTGATTGGGATGCTCATGACACTCTACGTCGACTTGATCTACCTCATTTTGTTGATGTAGCGTCGTTATCGACGTAGTTTGTCGTTCACAAGAACTACATTACGATTACCCCAACTACTTACATCAACATGAATATTATCAATTTCAAGCATCCAGGTTATCAACCAAATACCCCTACGTGGTTCCCGCTGCCATCAACGCCATACTGAATAGCCCGCACAATCAAGTGGAGAATTGTGTCCTCTACACCACTCTTTTTCCGAATGATGAGTGTTGCAAGATGATAGTCCAAGCAGGCATCTCAAGGGTCGTTTATGGCGACGACAAGTATCACCACCGTGACGCCTGGGTCGCTGCGCGGCGGATCTTGGACGTGGGGGGAGTAGAAGTAATGAGCTTGAAGGAGCTTCTGGATAAAGATCATGGCAAAGTTCGTCCTAAGGCTTCTTCTGTTAAGACGAAAACACCAGATGCCGATCTTCAATCTGGAGGAGCAACATCATCCACATCACTCGCCAAAGAGGTCATGCTAGCAAGCGGCTGGGGCATAGCAACAGCGATAATCACGCATGTGGGGCTAACTCTTGCTCAAAAAAGTGGAATGGTAGCTGGTCAATCACAGCTTATGCTAGACATGCAGAGGGCACTTTTCGAAAGGACGCGACAAACAGGAACGAGTTTACCCTTCCACTAGCAAGTCGTTTTTTGAACTCTGGTCTCTGTTCGCGAAGCGGACAACACTATCGTATCATGGGATGTACAGCTAAGTGTAAGTGTTACGAAAAAATATATCTTCTATGCCAACATTATAGACAAACCGGCACAGAAAGAGCAATGAAAAGCTAGTGCAGAGCGAAAGAGAATGTTGACAATGAGAGAGGAACAAGAGCAGGAGAAAACAACTTATTTCGAGGGCTGCGTGGAGGGCGATAGGATTAAATTGAAAGAAGGAGTTCTTGCTTGTAAAAAACTCCAAGTCGAGATGAAAATACGAGGAAGTTACAAATCATACAACGTGTCAACATCACAGCAAATTGCTGCAACCCTGTTAGCCATTAGCATGCTCCTGCCACGATGAGTAGCAGAAGTTTCCCCTCGACAGGGGAAACCACGACGTACAAGGGGACCTCCACGACAATGTCGTTCTTCTCCGCCTGGTCTTTGTTGTTGTTGCTGACGACACCAGCCTCTTTGGAGGTCGACTTGGTCAGTTCTACGACTTTCATTAACTGCAGGAGCGTCAAGAAGAACAAGAATTTCTTGATGTCAACATCGAAGAAGAAGAGAGTCCTCCCGAATGCGCCATGCTCTTGCGAGTACTGCGAACAGGGTATGCTGCAGTCCTGCGTAAACGAGTATCATGCGCGAAGACAGGTCAACACCTGCGTCGCAACGGCAGCTGCCTTCTGCAGCTTGATGGATGGTAATCGTTTGTCTTTGTTTTCCTCGTCACCATAGGAATAGGTGCAGCCGCTGTGTAGCCTTGTCCACATGCACTGCATCCGAAACCTAACCTACTACGAGGAACCGATTGCTACCTTTTTCCACGTCTCAACAGAAACAATCTACTTGTACTTCAAGAACTTGCAAATAATTCACAGTGAGTCTACTTGTACTTCAAGATCTTCACTATCTCCACCTGTATCATAAACGTAATTTCTTGTTGTAGGGAACTGCTTCTCATAATCCTACAACGTCAACAACATGCATAATCTTCAGGCGACCAAATCCTGCAGACTGACGTCGTCAAGGAGCGCGACCTTCAACTAGCAAACCTCGAGGCAGCGGCAGGCGTTAATAGCACTAGCACTAATAACTTTCAGTCGTGGACGATGGGGGCTGACGTTCCGGTTGCCAGTTTCTGTTTGCATGAATGTAGACCAACTTCTACTAGGTGGCCAGCGCTGCACGTGAATGCAGAAGCAGAAGTTTTATCGTCCTTGTCTTTTAGAAGTGGTTCTGAAGCTGCAGCGAGGACTACGTCGTTTTTACAACAGGAACAGGAGAGGGAAAGGAGAAGTGTACAAAGCCAGAGGCCGGCACCACCAGAATGGACCCACTGGAGTCCATCGAGTTGTAAGATGACTACTGCTCCTTTTGGTCGTCTAGCTGCAAACTATCTCACTCTCACAGACATATATTTATATGCTGATGACAGATATTTCTCTCTATGAAGACGAGTGTTACAAGGTTTATTAGAGATTCAGCTAAATACAATACTGTACTTCTGCTTTTGTTGAAGACCTAGAACTTGAATAAAAACAAAAATAACAATGCCAACCATCAATCCAAACAGGTGTCCCGATTTCCGCAGAATTCGCTACGAAATTGGCCCTTTTCCACAACCAGACTGAAGCCGTAGTTGACCTCAATATTTGCGCAGGGGACCCTCATGCGGCCTCAACGGATGCGAGGACTACAAGGTCAAATTCTACTTCGAATTGAGCTCCAGCTGCATATCATGAATATATAAAAAAGAAGGGGTGGTAGTTGTTGTTTCACTGTTCGTCTCTCGATAAGACGAACCTCCCGAAGGGAGCATATTTTATTTACAACATAGATCTACTTCTTTTGAAAGTAAGAAATTTTGACTGGCTTTTTGAACCAGACATGTTGGAGACAGCCGCCATTCCTCCTGAGTGATTGTGATCCCAATCTCCATTTTAGATGACGTCATCATTCTAACATAAGTACGCGAAAAATGGTTCCGATTCCAAGAAATCAATGAAATAGACTTTATGTATTCCGTCATTTGAATCAAAATTCCAAGAATATCAAGACGTTTTGGCGGGAATGCCAATCATCGCACAATAGCGTCTATGATTCCGAAAACGGTTTCTGTTCCTGTCTGTTTCACTGTACCCTCCAATGGTTCTCTTATGACACGACTGCCACTCTTCTCCAATGACATTCTTTTTGGGATTTGGTCGATGTAATCATCGTCTATTCGATCAGGGTGATCATGGTCTTTGCTTCTCATAACGATGATGACGATCCGACATGTTCACTCTGTGGTCTTTCTGCATCTGCCGCCTGAGATTACTTGCAAGGTTCATATCGAGCTTGATCCTCTTTTCTCTGCTCTGCCGGTTCGCACGAAAGGATTATTACATGCTTTTGAGTGTGCATTTTTTAGGCTGACTTTGTCCTTACAATTTCTTGTGCTTGCTGACTTTATTTCACATTCACTTGTTTCAGGTAATAGACTGGTTCTGTTACTAGAAACGACTAACGACTACATTGATTCTTTCTATCCTTCACTTGTTCATTCTTGTTACAACTACCTTTGCTTACGTGAGTAATATCAAGGCGAATTACGACTCTCGTGCGTTTCGTTATTTCTTTCATCTTCATCAATCACAAAAATGGGCGGCGGCAACAAAGGGAAAGGCAAGCGCGAAAGCGCTGTGTTTGAGGTCGACAAGTACCTCAATCAGATGGTCCATGTGAAATTTACTGGCGGAAGAGAAGGTACAACTACTTGTGAAGATTAAGTAAAAGTATTTGCTTTGCAAAAATTAGAAGACGTGAAGGTGAAACTGAAAGAACATGAAAAACTTTCTTCATTCTGAGACAACTTCTAAGACAAATCCCTCCCGTCATCCTCCACCCATCTACTGACCCTTCCACCCTCTTACAGTGCGCGGTCTCTTGAAAGGGTTCGATCCGGTTGTGAACCTAGTCCTCGATGATGCTGAAGAATTCAGAAGGGATCCAACCGACCCAACCAAAACTTTGGATAGCACTAGACCATTAGGCCTGATCGTTTGTCGTGGACCGTCAGTAACATTGCTTACACCAGTACCGACACCAGTTTCACCCGATGAAATTGAAGCGGCGACCACTGCGAAAGCGTAGAACAAGCTATAATTATTGTTGATCATGAGAAACCCTAATCAATATCTTCAACGTCAACCCCTCCAACTCGTCGAAAGGCATCTATACCCGTGCGCCCCCACGGAGCGATCACTGTATTTCTGAACAAGTGAAAATTTCCTTTTCCTAGAAACTCCAAAATGCTTTCTTGGTGATTGCATGAAAAGCAAGAGCCATGCTTCCATTTGAAGTCTGGCACCCATAGGCGATGAACAAAGCACGAGGTTTCTCAAGTGTTCAATGCGGGTTACCCTGAACGTCGTTTGTCATTGTCTTTCCTGCTCGAGTGAAAGAAACTTCCCGTAGAAGGAGGTTCATGGTGTACCCAGATGCGGTGTAGGAATAGGCATTTTTCTTGAAGATGTAGTCACGAATCTTAATCTACTTAGACATATCACCAAGAGCGAAACTCAGGAGAAACTTTAACTTTCTTTTCCAAAATTCTCTGCCATAGTTTTGCTTTTACCTTATGAGGAAGCACCTTTTTTGGTGATTCATTTCGTCATAACAATTGAGCAAGATCATTCAGAGAGGAGGTTGTACTACAACTACGTAAAAAAGACACCTGCTTCTTCTACTTGAACATTTTTTTACCTTCGAATTTTACGACGTACGCATCGAACCAAGATAAGAGTAAGATGCATTTTTAGTGTTCTAGAGCCCACGTCTACGTCTTCAAAAACGACGGCATATATCTTCCCTCACAAACTACTACTACTACACGAGATCATTCTTTTCCCGGTGCAACAACTGCTTTCGCACCTTCAAGCCCTACTTCTTCCAAACAGAACAAACTTCTTGGAGACCAACAAGACGAGGTGTAAAAATACCAAAATGCTCAGCCGAGGACAGGAGCAGATGAGGAGGAGAACTGTTTTCTTCCAGCATCTTCCTGTTGTACTCACTTGTTTGGGCATCTGGACGGAGCAAAACTTCTGGGGAGTGTTTTGCAAGTCAGCGCCAGGGGGTCGACCGTATGCTGAGCGAGGAAACAGACGACATGACTTTGACGATGAAGCAGGTGGACATCTTCAAGTAGATCTTCAAGGTCGGCGTGGCGCTTTGATACCATTACCGATTGGTAAAGTAAATAGAAATAATGCGAACCAGTGGCCGACGCCAATGGGTGCAGGAGGGGCTTCGTCTTCAGAACGTGGAGGAGGAGGTGGTGGTCCTTTTTATATGTTCGGGTCGTCTGCTTCTGCCGCTGCCCCTACCGGTCCTTCGTCTAAACCCGGTCCTGCAGGAGGTGTGTCAACGACCGCGTACAAGGCAGTATCAGAGTCGAGTGGGCCATTTTTAGGTACTCCGAGACTGGAACTCGCGCCCGCCTTTCGACAGTATGATGAATATGTTGCCGGTTCAGCAGGAACGACAATACCAAATCCGATGCCAGGAGGACCGGGAGTGCCACAGACAAATACCATAGCAGGGAGTACGACTACGACAAATAGTACTCCACCTCCGATGTACTTCTATCCGCAGGCGGTTGGACCACCTGCTCCGCTAGGTGGTGGCGGAGCTCCCGGATCGAGGTCTCCCGGATCGTTTCAACAAGGGTTCTTGCCATCTTCTGTAGCCAACAAAGGGTTCATGCCATCTTCTTCTGTAGGCGGTGTTCCATATTATGATCCTGCTCATCAGTTGTATCAACAAGGATCCACAGGAGTGCTGCCACTGGAGGCATCTACATCGATGATGCGGAGTTGTCCACCAGCAATGCCTCCACTCCAACCTCAACTCCCCACATCGACGCCTACTCACTTGATGGGCACCAGTATGGCGCCTCAACAGTATGGGTATGCCATCATCAATTTGGCAACTCTACAACATTTAATTTAAGGCTTGTTTTTCATAATATTTATCACTATCCCATGGATGTGGAGTATGCTGAGAGCTGCAGAGTGGAGTCTCCCTTGATTTAAGGGGGAAAATAACGGGAAGGCCGCAGGGCATCTCACTCACACTCAACCAGGGATAGCGAAAAACAAGCGTTAAGTAATCATGGGAGTCACTGCTTTACAACAACATCATGCGGCTCAGCAAAATCAGCATGATGTTAATCAAGGTGCAGCATTTAGTAGTCAGAGTCCACCTGAACAAGTACAAGAAGAAGAGACTACTTCATGTGATACAGCAGAATCATCAAGAACTCCACACGCACAAACTGGGCAACGGCAGCCTCAGGTGCCATATAAAATGCAAGATTATCATGACTTCTGCAAGCAGGAGCAGCGAACTCAAGAGCACGCAAGAAGGCCTACATCTGGTGCAGGTGTAGTATCATCATCTCCACAGGATATCCAGTATCAACAACAGGCCTCACAAGAACCAGCAGGGGAGACATTAACCGAGCCTAAATTTTGGCCTCCTACTGCAAGGGCGCATGAGCATACTGGATGGCAACGTGGCGATCCCGCTTGGCATTTACAGGGATCAAAGGCTCATGTGCCGCTGCAAGGGACGAAAGTTTCTGGTGCTGGTGAAGAAGTGCAGTCGAGGAGGAAAGTTGAGTTAAGAGTGAAAAAATTAGAATCTCAATCTACTTTTTCCTTAGAGGTCATCATCTTACATCTTGATCTTCTTCTTCATGGTCATGATATGATGACGCCTGATTATGATCATAGAGCAGTGGTCTGAATGTGATTCCTCCAGTACTCTAAGTGATTCCTCCAGTACTCTACTAACAGGAGACCTGGAAAAGCAAACCCGAAAGGAACAATCCGAAGAGCAAAGATTTCGGGAAGATGGAGTAGCTACTTCCGAATTCAAATGGCACATCAGTGCGGATACCAGTCCAGGGCCAACAGACCGAGTTGTCTTGCATCCACCAGAAGTGGCGAATCTCCTACACTGCGAAGGTTGTACGAGCATCATGTTAGACCGTTTGAAAAAGGATTCGGTAGAGCCGGAAGCCATCATGTGGGATTTAAATGCGAATGGGTTTTATGGTATTTACTCACCTGAACAAATGCAAATGGCGTCTTCCTTCTCAGTATAAGCATCATCCCGAGGAGCACCCGCATGTGGGATCTGTTTCTTTTCTTCAAAAATAGTAAAACTAAAAGGAAAAGCAATGATTGAATTTTATTTTTATAATGGTTCTTGAGAAAAGGACAAAAACGGAAGACGAAAGTAAAAGTGTAGCCGTGAAAAGGATCATATAGCGATAAAATAATAGTATATAAATAGAACAAGCTAGGCCTAGCACTAGATATAAAGCTTGAGGATAAGATACGGATATAGTTAGTCCTACTTCTCGCGCTGTGCACTAGTTTGGTGAACCGGTACCCTGGAGCGAATTAGTGGGTGCACATAGCGCGAGAACCGAGCACTTCTCTGAGGCACGCACTGGCTTCGGCCGCCATAGATGAGAAGACCTCCAGGGCAGAAGGACGAACGCGCGGCGCCTAAAATAGACGGATCCTAGTATAAACGTGGCCACTAGAATTTTATTAGATACTTGGAATACCTGACTTTTTTGATTTTTTGTTTGCTAGTTAGGAGTGCTCCACCGATATTTTATAATGGTTCTTGAGACATCAATGAATGGCAACATAAACCTATTTGACTGTTGTATTTTTTTGACAACTACACAGGTATGTTCGATTTTGTGCATATCGTTCAACCACTCGACATTATCGATCGAATGAGCGCTACGGCAGCAAAGAAGAGATCGATGATTATGGCGACAAGTGTTTAGATATAATTCGCTGCCTTGTAGTTCCTGGGGCAATTATAATAGACTAGTTTTGATACTTCAAGCAGAGGGCTAATAATGAAGCATGCATGATTTGTTATAAATATAATCAACGTCAAGATCAACCCCTACATATGTATAATACGATGCACAGTTCGAGCTCACATACTGAAGTGAAGACCAAGACCAATTTCTGTAGCTAGTTGTAGTTCCGGTTGAGTAGAACCGACAGTAACAGTAAGTAAAGTAATGATAATCATAATGCTATCTTGTTCCTATAATCTCACGGGGGGGAGGGAAGAAGCCGCCAAGAAATTCGATCCGAGTTGCTACGCATTCGTGAATTTCATCAACGAGGGAGCCGTCAAAGAGTTTTTGCGCCTTGTCCATCGTGGTGAGGTTTTCGCACGCTCCTTTGCACGTGTCAGAACTGCGCATAAGCAGGGCTTTATCACACAAGCCAAGGCTTGGACAGGCAAGTGGAGTGTTAGAAAGGTTTCTACTATCAGTAGTGCTTTGCCAACGACTGGTGAAGCTCCAGCATTAGAGGAAAAACCATCTCCATCTTATGATGAGAATACTTGAACATGATCATGAACAATACTAAAATCTTAATCCTTTGTCGCTGCCATCCTGAAGAGTGATGATGTTGTACTTGAACTTGTTATGATGATGTGCGACACAAGGAAGTTATACTTTTTTTAGTTCCTCTACTTCATCAACTTCTAGCTCTCCTTCTTCCCACCTTTGTAGTCTCGAGCTTCCCGCTTCAAGAACAAGACGAAGAGCAAGACCCCTGCTCAAATCTAATACAAGAGTGACGAGGATTCTTCGAGTCGTGGCCGCGATGAAGATGTCGAAGTAGACCAAGGGAAAGGTGCAGAAACTACTCTCTCTTCCGGCTCATCTTGGAATGAGATGGTTCGTGCGGTTTGGGGTCCAGACGATGGAGGAGTGTCCAAAATGCCAGAAGCACTTCGATTGGTCGTCGAGTGGGGGAAGAGTACTCGGCCTGTTTTTGACAAGTGCTGTGGATAGATGATCATGATCATTGATAATGACATATAGTGCTTACGATTACGTCTTACACATAAATAAAAGAAGTAAAACTGCCAACATAAATATTGATACATTGTTGTCTTTTTATTTCTTCAAGAGTTATTTATCTCGGCAAGAACCCGAGTCTTACTAGTCTTGATCTTCAATCTCCTGCTCAGATAACGCCAGAATCCGCCGCATCCGGAATCCTCGATTCTTTCCTATCATCCTAAAACGTGTACCGAGAAAAGTACTCCCTGACCCAAGTATGGACAGCTACCTGCCGCCTTTCGACGTGCACGCTTTTCGAGTGAGTCCGTTCTTCCCTCAAGCTTTGCTTTTCTTAAGTTTCGACTTGGATGCTGATTTCCTAGAATACATGAAGATCAGTCCTCAAAGTGGTCTTCCACATCATGGCACTTCTAGCTTGGCAGGTGGTGCGAAGATACCGGTGTTGAGAGCAGCAAACTTTCCTCCATATCAGACTCAAAAAAGCGTAGCCGATCAGTTGCGTGCCTCTGACCATATCTTTGCATCTTGTACTACAACTGCAGGGATTCATTCGGAGCAAGTAGATAGTGACGACGAGGATCAAGAGGACGAAGATGAAGAAGACTGGTCATCACCCTGGTGGGGAAACCCGCCATGGGAAAGGCAAAAACAGTCTGCTGAGTCGTCTATGAAGCCCCAGAAGGTGAAAGGAAGAGGTGCTGAAGATCGAGCTCGTTGGAACAAGGAACAACGAGCATTCGAGGACTCCTCTTTGGACGAGCTGCTCAACAGGGTGATGACAATCCACCACGAACTAGCAGAAGAAGACTTCCGAGCGCTCTTGTACTTACAAAATCTCCTACCTCCAGCAGAAGAAGACAACTTTGACATGCTAAAGACGAACAACTCGAAGATGGAAGATGAACTGGATCCTACACGACCTGGATGTCGTGGAACAGGAGCATCGACATCACCTGAAGTAGATGGAGGAACCACTTCTACAATAAGAAGCTGCTTGAGACCGAGACAGGTATCTGAAGGCACTTTGGCGTACAGTATGCTAAACAGCATTTTTACCCTCAATCCGGCTTTCCGTTCTGTCGTTCTTCGTGCGGCAAATGCAGATGATGTGGGAAACGAGCGAAGTTCTGTGTCACCGAAGTTTTCACTCTACGATATCCATCCACGAAGACGCAGGGCCGTCATTTCTCAGTGGGTTCAGGCTTGGCAGTACAGTTAAGGAATCCCAAAATTCATGTCAAACAGCATCTTTGGTAAACACATGTTTTCGAGGGGAAAGTCATGGTCAAAGATGTACTTACCCCAAATAAGAAGATGCGAATTTGGGTAAGGTCTAACACATGCGCACTAAACCAGACGCATCTTACTTCTCGTACCTCCAATTGCCAACTTTGCAGCATAGTGGAGCAGGACAGACAGACTACATTCTGCCATTCCTTCCAGCACTACAACAAGATCGCTCATTCGACGTTAGTATGAACACCTTCGCAGCAGAATTGCTGGCACAGTTGATGGATACAAATCCAGATGGATACTCAACGATGCGACTCCGCGAACATCATCGAGCGGGAGCTCCTCTTATGGCGTTCACGGGATGAAAAGTAGAAGTAGAAGATCTACTACATTATAAAATAAATATTCATAAAACTTGAACTTGAACTACTACATTAATTATATATGTACCAGGGAGGGAGGCCCCCCTTAAGCTCGAGAATGGGACCCCCTGGGCTTTACGGGATTCCTCGGGCGGATATGATCTGGGGCCAAGCGATCGCCAGGCGGGTCTTGCTCCTGCTGGGGCCAGTGCGGATATGATCTGGGGCCAAGCGATCGCCAGGCGGGTCCTGCTCCGGCCCTCGGGCGGATATGATCTGGGGCCAAGCGATCGCCAGGCGGGTCCTGCTCCTGCTGGGGCCTCCTGTGGTTCCTGTGGTTCCTGTGGTTCCTGTGGTTCCTGTGGTTCCTGTGG